AGCGCGGCGAGGCCAGGCGGGCACGACGGGGCCAGGCGGGCGCGACAGGGCCCGGCGGGCACGACGGGGCGAGGCTAGCGCAACGGGGCCAGGTGGGCGCGACGGGGCCAAGCTGGCGCAGCGGGGCCAGGCGGGCGCGCTAAGGCCCGGGCAGGCTCTACGAGCCGGGCGGGCGCTAGGGCTAGCTAGGGGGCGAGAGGCTAGGGCGCGGGCGGAAGCGGGTGGGTGGACCTAACCTACTCGTGATACCATGTTAGAATGCGAGAATGATTGACTAGTGCGAGAAACCTATGTGGTGTGGACCGAAGGGCGGTTTAGGGCGTCAGCGATCCTGCTAAGCCCTTGTTTGTAGGCGACGTGTACAGACCCGGCCCAATGGGAAGACTCCCTTCCCTTGATCGAGTTTGCGTACAACAACGCCCCATCAGTCACGGCTACTCAGTCCCCGTTCTTCTTTAATTATAGGTTAGATACGACAACCCCGCTATCGCCACTGATAGAAAATCCGACACCAAGATCGCACAGTTCGTCGAAAATCTCCGACTGTCTCAGCAAAAAGCCGCCGATGCCATCCTCAAAGCCAGCTGACCGACGATGCCGAGACTTAACACTTGCCCCTGTGCAATTGGTCCTGCTCGACACCAGAAATTCGGGATTTCCCTTACCAAATAAACTACGACCAAGATTTTGCGGCCCATTCCGCATCATCCGCATGGTGACACCAGTCACAATGCGAGGTTAGCTAGGAAGAAAGGCGGCCATGAAATGGCGAGAGGTTTAGGAGCTAGGAGAGAAAGTTTACGAGAGAAAAGAGGGATGGAATAGAAGAGAGAGGCATACAAGGAGGGAGTTGTACCCTCTACAATAGAGCTCAGTAATACCTACAAAGCCTATAATTATATACATGCAAAATATAATTTAACACACCCCCTAGGCTTGGTAGTCACAAACCCACCCCACATGCAACACCTTTAACCCTAGCACCCCTATACCCTGCAGCAGAGGTAACTGCAGGGAAGGAGGGCGCTAGGCCTTCTTGAGCTGCGGCGGGGCGGAGCCTGCTGGCGTGGCGAGCTGGGACCGACGCTGCGAGCTGGGACCGACGCGGCGAGCTGGGTCCGACGCGGCGAGCAGGGTCCGACACGACGAGCTGGGGAGGTGCGGCGAGCTGGAGTTCGGGCTTGCTGCCTGGTGCCTAAACCAGTGTGCAGCCCACTGCCGCCCGTGCGCTGACGCGACGACGGCGGCACGGCGGCACGACGAAGCCCTAAGGCACGGCGACGTGACGGGGCCGCTGCGTGATGGGGCCGGCGCGGAGGGACGGGGACAGCACGGCGTGACGGGGCCAGCTCGGCGTGACGGGGCCAGCGCGGAGTGACGGGGCCAGCGCAGGGTGACGGGGCCAGCGCGGCGTGACGGGGCCAGCGCGGAGGGACGGGGCCGGCGCGGAGTGACGGGGCCGGCGCGGCGTGACGGGGCCAGCGCGGAGTGACGGGGCCAGCACGGCATGACGGGGCCAGCGCGGCGTGACGTGGGGGGGAGGAGTACGCTGCGGAAGCGTAAGGAGAAGGCCAGAGCGAAAGGGGCCTGCTCTGATACCATGTTAGAAGGCTAACTTAGCTAGGAAAGAAGGCGGCCATGAAATGGCGAGAGGTTTAGGAGCTAGGAGAGGAAGTTGACGAGAGAAAGAGAGGGTTAAAATAGAAGAGATGCATACAACGAAGGAGTTGTACCCTTTACAGTAGAGTTCAGTAACACCTACCAAGCCTACGATTATATAACAAATATAATTTAACAATGTGACACAGATGCTGAAGCAAAGCGATCATTGTTATGAATGAACAAGCAGAGTAGCGCGGAAATGAATAACGAAGTGTTCACTCAATGAATGACGATACAAGGAATGGCAAGCCAAGATATAGGAAGGTAACCATGCGATGGTAAGGTTCGGGAAAGAGATCGAAGGGTCTCGAAGTGACGAAGCGAGGCCCGGAGAACTCCCGAAGGTCGAACCGAAAGGTCTGGAGAAGCCGAGGTGGTTCTGTCAGAAGGTCTGGAACAGTCCCGAGGCTTTCGGGTGTCTTAGAGCGTACGCGATAGCAGTACCGCTCGGAAAGGAATGAAAATTCCTTACAATCATCGTTAGGAGGGCACTTATGGAGTCGAGAATCAAGTCGACCTTGTCGAAGACCATTTCATCGAACTTGACCAACGAAGGACAACAGTGCCAACTCGCATGGGGCAGCTTCCCTTCCTTTCCGTGCCCTCCGTTTGTTATGCGGGCTGCTGCTTGTCACGCGAAGTGACGAGGGATTCATGATGGCGTTATGCTGCGCTGGCCATCATCGGGGACTGCACTCAAACGCATTTATGCCCGGCAGGATCAACCAACGGTTTGCGGCGAAACTGTGTCCCGCATTTGGATCTGTTCCTGCGTTGATTCTTGGGAAATGCTTCACGACGCCTTCCGCGCTCAGGGAAAAAAATCGGGGCTGCTGCTTAGGGCAGGCTCTGTATGTTGGAGATCCCCCAAGTTGCCGAGCAGGCTTTCTGAAGATTTCTCCGAGCCCGAACGCGGCCCCATCACGGATCGGACTCCGCTGTCGCCCTGTGAACTGCAGTTTACGAAAACCCCCGATTACAGGCACATACCACACAACTACAGCAAAGCACAAGACATCCGCGATTGAGGAGGCTTGAAATGGTAAGAACTGTAGAATCACAGGGGCCACAAAAAACACGCCCTCAATGTATGCAGTGTCACATTCGAGTATGACAGTGAGGATTCGGATGGATGCAATCTCCATGATTTTTCGAATGTGACTTATGCCCGAAAGCACAATGAGAATCACAACAACTGGTACCCGTCAAAATATATATATTAAAAAAACGCCTATCAATTCTAGGAAAATTGCGGGAAGTTCGGAAAGGAAAGCCAAATCCAATACAGTAATACACTGCATTTCAGCGTGCACTTCGCCACTCCACCCACCAGCCCACAGCTTGTACGAACGGGCAATTCTGCTGTTGCGCGATCTGATACGGGAATGAGAATCTAGCCAGCAACTAGGGCTCTGGCTAACAGAAAAATTACCCTGATGCAGCGAAATTTAGAGTGGTGTTCTACATTCCGCTTTTTCGGCGTAGTGAAACTTTTCCTGATTCCGTCTGTCTAACGGATTATTTTACTTGTGATTTCTTGATTTAGGGATTATTTTACTTTGATTCCGTGCGAAGTGCACATGTAGATTGAGATCTGTTCGTGGTTGTATCACCCCTCCCTCCCTCCCCCCCCCCCCCCCCGGCTTACCTCCACTAAGCAGAGATAGAGGCCAGTTAGCGGATTTTTTTTCTACACTTCCAACCGCTTGAGGCATAGTATGTACGAGGAACAGGTCCAGGGGGCTCGAAGGCCTTTCCTTAGCCCTGGCGATGGCCGTTTGTCTTGAGGATGTTAGTATCAAAACAAAGGTAGCACTGGGACGAATCCGTAGTTTAACGGGTAGTGTTTCGACGATTCCGTCCGCTAATGGATAATTTCGGGGTTGATTCCGTGACCTAACGAAATACCCTAGCGAGAGCCCTGCCCCCAAGCCCAGCACGCTGCTGGAAACTGTAGCAGATGGCTCCACTTGTTCGTGTGGGGTGCTTGTTGCGGCGTTGTGGCTGTTGTCATGACATGAGGCCTCGGTTCGGCGGCTGGCGCACAGCGGTGAGTGATGAAGTGGATGTGGCGGGGACTGCAATGTGTCGTTGTGAAGGGAGCTAGTTTCAAACAGAGTATAGACTTTTTCTTGGTAGACGAAATCATATTACTACAACGAAAGAACATCTCCCTAAACATCAACCCTCAACCTCAAGTACCAACTCATCGTGGTTTTCAATGTGGGAAAGCTGTGCAATCGAGCAAAGGGGATCCCTTTGTCGGAAGACTAAGTGGTCGCTTGGCTTGAGGACGGTATGGAGGAGTGTTGCTGCTGCCCCTTACATCTACTCAAAACGTGTTCAGGTTCAAGACGAATGCAACATGGGAACTTTCAATTCTCAGAAAATGCATGGCAGCTGTAACTCTCTTTCGTGCATGTTGGCAGTGAATGAATGATTTTCTTGCATCCCTGCCCTGAAATAGAAGCGCCCTTGTGAACAGAACGGGCAGCAACTTCAGGTCGATACGGCAAGAGGAGCCTGATTTGGCGGTCCCAACTGCCAATTCTGTCCGTCCTCGTCAGTCCTTCCTGGCGTGTTTCAGTTGGAGTGCAGAATTGAGGAGGGCAGGACAGGACAGGGCAGGAATGCATTGATGGGGAAGACCATTGCCATGGTGCACGCATTCCGTGGAAATGACGAAGGCATGGATGGTAACTGGGTGGAGGGAGGCAGTTTTCTAGCCGCTGGTGGCAGCGCAATGACTTGATCTTTTGTTGGATGTGCAAGGTGCAAGAAAGTTGTGTTCATGGCGAAATAGCATGCCTGCCTACAGCACCGTATGGATGTTGGCGTGTCGTTGACAGGGCTCTCGCTACGGCCAGGGGTATTCCGTAAGGTCACGTAATCGGCCCCTAAAATACCCCTTATCGGACGGAATTTCCGAAAGTTTACCCGTTAGCATACGGAATTGTCGAAAAGCTACACTTGGTTTGATTCCAACATCCTTGAAGGCAATGGCCTTGGACACAGCTAAGGAAAACCCATCAAAACCCCAGGGACTGTTTCTCGCGGATACTGCGCCTGAGGCAGTTGGAAGAGTAGAAAAACTCATGGCAACTAACCTCGCGCTTTGCATAGTGGAGGAAGTTGGGAAAAGTAGTGGAGAGGGCCGGAAGGGGTGATTCACCACTACGAACAGATCTCCCACTCCAATTGACTTCGTACGGAATCAAAGAAAAGTAACCCGCAATGTGAAGGAATCACACTAAAAGTAATCCGTTAGGCAGACGGAATTAAAAAACGTTTACTATGCAAAAATCGAGATCAGATCGGAAACATATTTAAATTTCGCGACATGAAGGGTAATTACTCTGTTAGCCAGAGCCCTGCTTGGGGAGCCCAGCCAGCCGTGTCGCCCTAGATGGGCGAATCTCGCGTGCGTGAGAAATTACGGAAACACAGTCTCACCCGATGGCTAGCAAACAAAATTCAGGGGGGTTACTGGACGAACAGTAACAGCAACTGCAAATGTACTGTACTGGATTGGTTACCGGGCCAGCCAAGCAATTGAAGATTTGGTGCATGTGAACTCAGTCATCCCCGGCGTCGGCCAGCGAAAAGAATTTCTGTGAGCATTGCCGCGGTGTGATGTGATTCGGAAGAGTTGTCGTCAAGCTGCGCGCATGCGGTTCGGGGAAGTTGCATCGCAGTGCATTGCATTTCTGTCCTGCCAGCCAACGCCATCCCAACTCTCGCATTCCTCCAGAAACGAAAAACCACCGTCCTGTTGGTTCGACTGTTGCCCCAAGTTCATGAGGTGGACAAACAGAGCAAGGACGACAACGCGGCGCGCTCTCTGCTCGCTCCCCTCCTCCTGTCCCATCATTTGTGCCCCTTCTTGCTGTCGATCCATCCAGAACGGAAGACCTGCTGCTGAGCAGCACAGCATTGCAGGATTGGCGCAGAAGTCCACGGGGAGCCTCTAATTCCTACGCTGATCACAACAGCTCCAGCGTTTTCGATATATTTTAGACGCTAGCCGAACAGGTGTGATCTCCACCTCAGTTCTGAAAGCTCTTCACGCTTCCGTCGAAACCTCTAGACTTCCAGCGCTATCATTGGCCAGACTTATTTCGAGACATGGCGGACACTGCAGTTCCGGCACCCGTTCAGTTGAACCAATTTCTCGTCAGGCCCGTCGGTTGCAAACGAAGCAGAGACGCCACCAATGGCGCTATGGCAAGCCACGCCTGCTCCGCTTATTCATACGAGTCGGGCCTGAACGATCTGCTATTGACGCTGATGCAGGAGCAACGGGAGCAGGAGCGCCAGCAGCAGCAGCAGCGCCAGCAGCTGCGTCGTCAGCTGTTGCTTCGCGAGTGCGCGACAGCGCTCCTCGCGTCCGTGACGACGGCTTCGCACCGTCTCGGCGATGCGGCGTGCGGCGTCGCGCCGTCGCTACCAAATCTCTCGTCGCACTCGACAGTTGAATCGTCCGCGGCAGCGGGGTGCTATTTGGTGCCCGCCGCCGCTGACATGCGAGTTTTATCCGCGCACACAGCGACCCTCCCCGTAGCTTCTCAGGCTGAGGATTTCCATCATCGTCTGAAGCGTCCTCGCTACGAGGAACTCGCGCATGCAGGACGCGATCGCACTCACGGTGACGTTTACCAGCCGCAGCAAACCGAGTTTTGCCAGCACGTATCGGCACAGCAATCGCACCCGCTGGCGTCGCGGGGGCTAGACACGGGGGTGCTTTCCGCGCTGATTCAGCAGGCGGTAGCGGGGCAAGTGCGCGCGGTCGTCTCCGCGGCGCTAGAAGAAGCCGCCGGGAGCAAGCGGCGAGTGGCAGACTTGGAGCAGCAAGTATCCGCGTTGCAGACGAATCTCGCTTCTGCACACAACCTGCTTGCCGCGTCCCAGCGTACAGTTTCTGCTCTTCAGCGCTCGCTTGAAAACTCCGAGCAACAGCTTCAGCAGGAGCTGTTCCGCGAAGGTTCTGGCGACAGTGATGACGTGGCAGTAGGCAGAGGGGCGGGCGTGGGGCAAGTGGAGGGTCATGCGGAGGACGCGGTTTCTGTGTGCGAGGGCGGACCTATTTGCGAAAAGGGCGCAAGTTTTTGTTTTTTTCCTTCGGGCAGGTGCCCATCCGCGCCTGCAGTTCCGAACCAAACGGGCACTTCTGTCAATGAGATACGCCTGAAGCACGTCTGCCGAGCCTGCAAGTTTGGCGAAGCCTCGGTGGTGCTGCTGCCTTGCAGGCACTTGGCGCTATGCCGAGCCTGCGAGCCACGCACGGCAGCATGCCCGGCCTGTGGCGTGTCCAAGCATGCTAGTGTGCACATATCCCTGGAGAACTGAGAACAAGTTTCGTCTCGACTACAAGCTAACTACTGACATGGTTCTGTATTGCTGCAAGCTTAGAGCTTCCTCATGTATCCAGAACGCATTAGCACTCCTTTTCTCTAGCATAGTGAGCACGTTACTAGTATTTGTGTTGTTCCAGCATGTAGATTGTGCTTTGTCTGTACATTTGGAAATTAAAGCCGTTGATCCGAAACGTGCAAGATTAATAAACATGATAGGGGCAAAAAGTTGAACACGGCAGCGCGCAGGGGCGTAGGGCAGTGGTGAGAGGTGACGAGTGGTTTTCGCCAACGAGCGAGCGTCGCAACACCATGCGCGACAAAAACACTCTTGACGAAACCTCATGAACCAATCAGGGCGCAAAAAAACCGAGCACGCAAAACACTGCCAATATAAAAGGACAAAAGGGGAGGGTGGGACGGAAAAGGGAAAGGAGGGGCGCGCTAGGCGCGGGAAGTTGGTTGGGGGGGGGGGGGGGGGGGGGGGGGGTGAAGGAGGGAGAGAGTGGGAGTGTGGGAGGGGTGATGAACAGCGAACAATAGGAAGGTACACGTAAGGGCGTGGTGCTTTTGGCGAGATTTGGGCTGTGCAACTTGTGTCAACTTATACATATTATCTATGTAGAAGTTATAGGCTAGACTGAGGTATGCTTCTAGTGAGTACAACCAACTAGTATTTGTTCTAGGTTTCCACCTCTAGTAATCATTCGTTTCTACGTTAACATGGTATCACGCTTAGGTTAGGATCCCCCCGCCTACCGCTTCCGCCCGTCGCGCCTCCTAGGCCCCGTCGCGCCCCCTAGGCCCCGTCGCGCCCCCCCTGGGCTCCGTCGCGCTCGTTAGGCCCCGTCGCGCCCCCCCTGGACCCCGTCGTGCCCGCTGGGTCCCGTCGCGACCCCTAGGCCCTAACGCGCCCCCGCTGGGCCCCGTTGCGCCTCCTAGGCCCCGTCGCGCCCCCCATGGGCCCCGTCGAGCCCGCTGAGCCCCGTCGTGCCTCCTAGGCATCGTCGCGCCTCCTAAGCCCCGTCGCGTCCCCCCCCTCTGGGCCCCGTCGCGCCCGTTCGGCCCCGTCGCGCCCCTCCTAGGCCCCGTCGCGCCCGCTGGGCCCCTTCGCGCTTCCTAGGCCCCGTCGCGCCTGCTAGGCCCCGTCGCGCCCCCCCTGGGCCCCGTCGCGCCCGTTAGGCCCCGTCGCGGCCCCCCTGGGCCCCGTCGTGCCCGCTGGTCCCCGTCGCGCCTCCTCGGCCCCGTCGCGCCCCCCCTGGGCCCCGTCGTGCCCGCTGGGCCCCGTCGCGCCCCTTAGGCCCCGTCGCGCCCGCTGGCCCCTGTCGCGCCTGCTGTTAGCGCTCGCCCGCCTGGCCTCCTCCTAGTGCCGCTCGGCCTCCTCCTAGTGCCGCCCGGCCTCCTCCTAGTGCCGCCCGGCCCCTTCCTAGCGCCGCCCGGCCTCTCCTCAGCGCTGCCCGGCCCCTCCTCGTGCCCGACCGGCCCCAGCAGCACCAGCCTGGCCCCTCCCAGCACCAGCCCGGCCCCAGAGCACCTGCCCGCCTCCCCTGCTCGGCCTGCCGTGTCCTCTCGGGCCCTGTGTCTTCTGCTTGCCTGCGCTGGGACGCCTAGCTGCTGCCCTACTGGAGAGTGCTGCCGCCGTGTCCCCGCGCCGCTGTGCTCCTGTGCCGCTGAGGAGCTGTGCTGCTGTGCCGCTGTGTCGCTGAGGAGCTGTGCCGCTGACCCTGCACGATGGCTGACTTTGTGCTCCGCCTGGACGCTGAGGGCCACGCGGTTGACTTCGCCGCCTGGCTCTCCGATCTTCGCCGCCAGCTTACAGGTCAGCGCCAGGATGGCCACTCTCTGGTTGTCCATGCTGATGGCTTGCTCCCCCGTCCCCCTGCACCTACTCCCCTCCCTGCTGACCCCTCCTCTGATGACCGTGAGGCTTTCTCTACTGCTGCGCTGGCCTGTGCGATCTGGGACTCACGCGATGCAGTAGCTCAGGTTGCTATTAGTCACGCCCTCCCTGTGTCTGAGCGCTCGCGTTTTGCTACTGTTGAAACGGCCAAAGCTTATTTAGACGCCGTTATTGCTCGCTATTCCACCCCTGCCTCCGCTTCTGCTGGCCGCTTGCTCTTTCCGATGCTGTTCCCAGACCTGGCTGCCTTCCCTACTGTCGCAGATTTTGCCACTCATTTGCGTGCCCTAGAGACTCGCTATCGCACTGCCAGCACTGCTGCCCAGCTCACTGCGCTCCCCCCTCCTTTCTGCATGACGCTCTATTTTATCGCTATGCGCCTGCCAGACCGCCTCGCTAGTGCTCGCGACCACTTTCTTAGCCAGCACCCGGGTGACCTCACCCTGACCGCCTTTGTCGACACCCTCACTGAGATCGAGACTCGCCAGCGCACTATCGCTCAGTCGAGCGGTGCGCTGCCAGTCTCTATCTTTCACGGCTGTGCCCCATCCCCGTGCACGTTCACTGACGTTTCGGCTGCGGTCGCCACGGCGACCCCTCTTACCGAGACGGCTGCTGCTGTCCACCCGCAGCAGCGCTCGCGTCGCGGTGGCCGTGGCCGCCAGAGAGGTAGGGGTGGTGACGCAGGTGGTAGTGGTCGTGGTGGTGGTGACGGTAGTCCGCCTGAGGGGACTACCACCGGTGGGCAGGAGCAGCAGTCCCAGCAGCAGCAGGACCAGCCCCAGCCGCAGCCGCCGTCCCAGCAGCACCCGCCGCAGCCGTGGGCTCGTCTCCCGCCTGGTTGGCCCGGCACCTCCGGAGGCGGTGGCCGTGGTGGCGGCCCGCGCAGCTTGGCGTCTACCAGCGGCTCCAGTGCTGTGACCTGCCAGTACCAGCTTCAGACCGGGCCTCTCCGCGGGACTCTGTGCCGCCGCCCGCACCCGACCGCCCACTGTTTCCGCCGCCTCGACGATCTTTTTCGTCGTCGCTTTGGCCCGGCCCCGGACCTCCCTGACTGGCACAGCCTGCTCCGCCAGGGCGTGCCGATCTTTGAGTTAGACATGGATCAGATAGGTGCTGCTTTGCATGCTTTGTATGCTGACGCTTCTAGTGTTGATGGATCTTACTACCATGTGTACTCTAGTTTAGGTGTTTCACCCTTGTGTAGCTTAGCTTCCCCTGCTGCGACAGGCGTAGGACTGCCTAGGTTGCCTAGTCTAGTCGCTGCACCGGCTCCGTCCGCGGCCTCCGCCACTGCGTCGCTGTCCTTCACTCTCGACTCTGGTGCTTCTGCCTGCTTCTTCCGCGACCGTTCCACGCTCACGCCGCTTGCTGCACCTGCTGTTGTCTCTCTCGCTGACCCCTCTGCGGGTCCGGTCGTCGCGCGCAGTTCTACGTCCCTTCCCTGTCCGGCAGTTCCCTCGGGCTCCCTTACTGGCCTCCACGTTCCCTCGTTCTCCAGGAACCTGGTTGGTGTCGGCTGTCTCCAGGACCTCGGCGTCACCACCACGTTCCCCGGGCACGAGCGGTTCGCTGTCTGTTCTGAGGCTGTCTCAGGTTCCCCCCTTGCGACGTTCCCCCGGGACCCGGTGTCCGGTCTGTTTACCCTACACACCGCTTCCCCCCCGGTTGGTGCGTCCTCCCAGGTCGCTGCAGCTTGCTCGTGTCGGTCCCTCACTCACCCCTCCCTTCTCTGGCACCACCGCTTAGGTCACCCTGCTCTCCCGCGTCTGCGTCACATGTCCCAGCACGGCCTTGTCTTAGGTCTCCCCGCGTCGCTCCCTGCCCTTCCTCCCTCGACTGCGCCACCGTGCACGCCTTGCGTCGAGGGTCGGCTCCGCCGTGCTCCTCACTCCTCCTCGCTGCGTCCTGCTACTGCCCCCCTTCAGACCCTGCACTTGGACGTTTGGGGCCCTGCCCCCGTCCCCGGACCGCGCGGTGAGCGCTACTTCCTTGTGCTCGTTGACGACTACACGCGCTACACCACGGTGTTTCCCCTGGAGCGGAAGGCCGACGTGCCCGACGTTCTTCTCCCGTGGGTTGTAGCTGCGCGTCTCCACCGCAGTCTCCCCGTGTTGTGTCTCCACTCCGACCGTGGCGGCGAGTTCGCCTCTGGTCGGCTTGGACAGTTCTGTCGTGCGGAGGGCATCACCCAGTCGTACACGTTGCCGGACTCGCCACAGCAGAATGGGGTTGCTGAGCGCCGCATCGGCTTGGTCATGGAGGTCGCCCGTCCCTCCATGATCCATGCCGATGCCCCCCATTTTCTGTGGCCGTTCGCTGTTCGCTACGCGGCTCACCAGCTTAACCTGTGGCCACGCTCCCAGCGGCCGCAGGTTTCGCCGACCCTCCTTTGGACCGGGTCCCCCGGTGACGCGTCTGCGTTCCACGTATGGGGCTGCCTTGCTCACGTTCGTGCCTCTGGCACGGACAAGCTCACTGCCCGCACTGTCCCCTGTGTCTTCCTCGGTTTCCCCCTGGACTCGTCTGACTGGCTTTTCTACCACCCGCCGTCTCACCGCTTCCTCCACTCTCGTGACGTCACCTTTGATGAGTCCGTCTCCTTCTACCGCCGCTTCCCTCACCGAGGTCTCCCAGTTGCCCCCCCCCTTTTCCTTGCTCCCTCTCCCCCGGTAGCCCCTGCCCCTCTCCCGCCTCGTCCTGCCCCGTCTGGTGTCTCCCACGTCACTCCCCTCCCGTCGGTTGTCCCCGTTGAGGAGTCTGCTGACTCTGGTGGTACCCCCGGTCCGTCCTTGCCGCGTCCCCCTTCCCCGGTGCCTCCGCCCCCACTGTCGCAGTCGCCGACCCCGCTGCCGCCGCCGTCGCCGTCGCCGCCGCAGCCGTCGCCGCTGTCGTCGCCGCCGCCGCCGCTGTCGCTGCCGCAGCCGTCGCCGCTGTCGCCGCCGCCGCAGCCGTTGCCGCCACTGCCGCCGTTGCTCTCGGCCCCTGGGGGTGCTGGTGTGGAGGAGGGTGTTCGTCCTGCGGCTTCTGGGGGTGCCGCTGGTGTTGGAGGGGGTTCTCGCTCTGGGGGTGTTGGTTCTGGGGGTGCTGCTGTTGAGTGTTCTGCCGACGGTCGTTCTGCCTCTGCTGGTCCGAGAGTTCCGGCCCAGCCGTCGTCGCCGCCGCAGCAGCCGTCGCCGCCGGTTTCCGCTCTCCGCCTGCTCGGCCTTCCCTCCCCGGACCGCGCGCCGGTGTCTCCCCCACCGCCTCCTGACCTCCCTGTCTACGGTCCTGTGTTCCCG